TTTTAAAATAACCATGATTGTCACAAAAAGTTATCATCTAAGTCTAATGATTTTAAGGTTAAAAGACCAATGTATGTTTTTTAAAGTTAAGGGACCAAATTAAAATCTTGTGTAAAGTCATGGGACCAAATTAAAATCTTGTGTAAAGCTATAGGACCAAATATATACTTTAGCTTTGAATTTATCTTTGTTGGGCGAAATTATAGGGATAAAGTTTTATTTTTCCATTAGAGCATGCTGGTTTATTGATTATTATACAAATCCAAAGGCACCTTCTTGCCTGGGTGGGAATAGGAGTGTTCATGAAGCCCGGTTACCCGCTATGCCCACCTAAACCCGCAAAAAAATGCCCAGCCCGCCTTAAAAAAATTGGCCTGAAAGAACTATTGGGCATGTTCGGGCTAGGCAAATTGTTGGGCAGGGCTGGGCATCAGGCACGATATGCTACCCTGCCCATTTGACCCTGCCCGCAAAAATATATATAATTTTATTTATACATATTTTATTTGCCTCATATTTCTTTTCCGAATGAAACTCACTATTGCATTAATATTCAGTGTTTATTATACTTATTTATTTTTGAATGATTTTGAGAGTTAGAAACTAGAAAAACAATTAAGTTTAATAAAATATACAAACACTTTTTTTGTCATAGTTCACTCCTCCTAGCTACTACAAAAAGTAGTTTCATATTATATTAATTAGCAATAACAAAATTAAGGCTAAGTTGTCATTTCAATATAAAGTTATATTAGATTATTTAGAGGGACACAAATAATTAGTTAATTAATATGGTATATTGACTTGTTGGGCATGTAAGCCCGCCCTGCCCAACCCGCATTTGTCCAGCTCAAACTCAATAGGGCTTTTCATGAGTAGGGCCGGGCAACAGGCTGTATTTTCCAGCCCATTCATTCTTCAGGCTGGGCATCAGGCAAGGGTCCTGCCCTGCTCATGGGCAACCCTAGATGGGAACATCGCTGATGTTTTATCGTCAAAAGTTTCTTGGCTGAGTGGTACGGAGGTTGCCCTCTACGGCACGACGTATAGGTTTGATTCTGCTCCAAGCAATATTAGCTTGTGTTTAGTTTTAAAAAAAAAAAAAACCTCTATCTTACTTAATATGTAGAGAAATAAATTACAGAGTAAAATCTATGTGAATTTAATATTTAGGATATTTTATAATTGGTTATAACAAATTTGACTACATTTTTATATTTTTTTAATTATGAGACTATTTTCAATTAAAAACCAATTTTTTAAAAATAAACCGATACCACATTAAAAGTCCAATTGAGTAACGTAGATTATAAAAACTACAGTAACAGTAGTCCACACATCAGCAGCCTCAGCTTCACATGACTAAGCAACCAGTGGCCCAGATGACGATGGACCTTGATACCTGAACATAATGAGAGTCCTCAATATGCATCTTAATGAGCTTAGAAGTTCTTATTAGGCCCTGTTTGGCAAAGCAGTAGAAATCTCTTATAAACACATTTCACGTAAACTGAGATAAAACTCCTCTTATATACTTATTTCGTATTTCGTAAATCACTATTGAAAATCAACTTATAAGCTACTTATAGGCTGTTCCATACAAACCCTTAGACTCATCCAGTGTATGCTTCCTCATAACTGTGTGACCACCTTGCACGAAAACCCAACAGAACCCAAGATTTTGGTGACGCAATTGGCATCAATCTAGCTAGAAGCACAATAACCCTCTTATACTGCCTCTTTCTTCCAAGAATCCACCAATGTTCACATCATTATTACGCTCAACCTCAAGCCTAGTTAATGCCTTTGATAACACATGAGCGTCACTGAAGAAGCAATACTCTCGCTTTCTATTTATGACTGAAAAAGATTTTTCAGGTGTCATATGTTTCCCTTCACCAAGAATAAATTGCTCAACCATATCAGGCTAGCACAATGCAGTGTTGAGTCTGTATTTGAAATCATTATGTGCTAGTTTGAACCCTTGTAGGGGAGATCAATCACATTAGCAGGCTCCATTTTCCTCTTTTTCACATCACCTGTTAAGCTATATACGCATCTTCTCTTGTGTAGAGAACAATTCACGTGGTAAAGAAGTGAAACAGAAAACTCCATCACATTAGGTAGTAATGCTAAATAAAACAGAGGAGTTGGAATTAGATTGAACTATGGCCCCTAAACTTAGATCTTCAAAATGGGTTGAGCCTATTGGGTGCCGGATTTATACTTTAGAGAGTTCTAAAGGAGCTTGAATTAAACAGGCAAATCTTTTGAGGCTTAGAAATAAAAAGCTAGCTTCTTAAGGTTGAAAGCCACCACATTTAAGATTAGACCTAGGAAAGTGGACTGGCGATGTGGATACCACGGTGCGGGCCGAAGTAGCCCGCACCTTTGCGAGCTAGCAAAACCAAGGCGGGTTGGCGGGCCAGCCCGCCAGCCCGTCTAAAATTTTTTTTAAAAAAATTTATTATATTAGTATAAGTTAAATCTAGTTTGAAATGTTGAAATTAGGCTCCAAGTTTTAAACTTGAGTAATGGATTCTAATAAAAAAAATGAGAATTAATTTATAATTTTAGAAGATATTTAAGAAAAACTAACATATATTTTTTTATAAATAATTAATTTAACTAGTTTTCTTATCCAAATTAATTAAGTAAATCTTTTATGTGTGTGTATATATGACTATATGAGAATCACGTGTTCATCTAATCTCATGAAGCCGTGTATAATAATGACAAATAAATATAAAAATAAAAAATGGACGGTGCTCTTCATATAACCATACACATATATATGAAGTGTTTAATTAATTATATATATAATGATATGAATGAAGTAATGTCCATATAAAATTTGAGGGTCAAAATCATCTAACTATATTATATAATGTATTAAAAATCAGGAAAAAAAAGCGGGCTGACCCACCAACCCGCGGCGGAGTGGGCCAACAGCGGTGCGGGCTAGAGTAGCTGGCACCGTGGCGGGTTGGCAAAACGCCAACCCGAGCCTGCCTTTTTTGGGGAGCTGGTAGGCTGGCTCATATTACCGGCTCTATTTAAGATCACTCATTTTTTATTTTCATTATTTAAACCTAAAAATTTATTAAACTCACGTACCATTATTACTCTTTGTTGTGCGGATGATGCTATGCAAGCCTCTTGATTGAAAAAGAATAAATTTAAAAATGTAACTAGTTGCATGGTTTTACTTTAAAAAACGGTAATAAACAAAATATTGATTGCTATTAAAAAAGACACTACTTATAGTGAAGAACAATTTAATATTGATGATCTTGATAATAGTAATGGAGATGAAAATGGTAGCAGTGTTGGTGCTGTTAATCCTTAGCTCCTTGGTTTCTACCTTTGTAATTTGTCTGTTTGCCTCATTTAGTTGTGGTTCTTTTTGAATTTGGACAATAATTTATTAGTGTGCAAGTTTTGATTTGCATTACTTTTGAAATGTGGAACATGACACTTTATTTTATTAATATTTATTATTTGAATTGAAAATTGTAGGAGATTTTATAGTTTTATTTTTTAATATTCAAGTAGTTGAAAAAAAGTTAAAATTTAATAAAATGATATGCAGATTCTAAAAGCCCATCCTTTTTAATCTTGGCCGTCAACTCACCTTTTAAAGTCGGGCCAACTCTTATTGGCACCAAAGCCTTTTTATTTTTTTATTTTTGATAGTACCAAAGCCTTTTTAGTTATAAGAGTATCTGAGACCAATTAAAGACAATGGACCCAATTTGTAATCCACAAATTGCTCCGACAGTGTTGAACAGTTAAATGTATGGCCCACAGAGGCACAATCGGAGCACACACGGCCCTTTTACAAGAATCATGAATATAGCAATTCTAAGTTATATTCACCAAAAATTATTTAGGAAAAATTTTAAGAAAATATCTCTAAAATTTTAAAATATCAAATCAAGAATGATTATAAAATATTGTTATTTTTTTTAGATGTTGTCAATTATTATTATTACTGATTTAAAATTTTGAAATTTAAAAATATTTTTTTAGGATCCTTGAGAAAATAAGGAACAAAAACAAACTATCACAAACAATTTACAGCTATCCAATCCTAAATTTATAATATAAAACGGGTCTTATATTTAGGATTAGAGGAAGTAGTATTTAGAGGATTATCTCGAAAATCCGTTGGCAAAAAATCCGTTTGCAAAATTAATTTTTCCTAATTTTTTTAATTTGGTTACAGATAGAGTAGAGCTATCTCAAATTCTCTCTCTATTTTTTTTAATAAAATTTTTATAATTTCAATTCTCTAAAGCAAATCAAGGTCAAAAAAAAAATTCTCTAAAGCAAATTAGAGATGGATTACTAATTTATTTATTTCTTAATTTTATGAAAATCAATTATTTTGACACATAATTAAGGGATATTAAGATAAAATTAATGTGAAAGAAAATATAAAGTGTTCAATATAATCCTTGTTTAAACAGCTCCAAACTTGTGAGCGTACCCGTAAGAAGTTCTACGTATTTAATTATGATAATAAAAATATATTTTCCTAAAATATAAAGTACTTTTTATTAAAAAATACTCCTTACAATAATCAGAAGATATTCAGAATATCTTTTCAATCCAATCACCATCTTCTTCTTCATTTTTGATATATTTAAATTATTTTTAAAGGTTAATAAAAAGCCAGCTCAAAAAAAAATAAAGGTTAATAAAAAGCATTCAAAATTTTTAAAAGTAATTATGTCAAAATAAAAAAACCTTTTTTCATAGAAAAATAAAATAACGAGACTGTATTTTAAAATTTATGAATCTATATCCTTTTTTTTTCCCAACTTTATGAATCTATATCTATGATCTTCTATAATCTATAAATCTATCGTTGTCAAAAAAAAGAGAGAATAATATCCGATAAACTATAGTCTATAAATAATGAACCGATTTTTCTTTTCTTTTTTATCTTCAACATAGAAATACTGCATATTACTATACTCGCCAAACGAGGGTTTTCTTTACCCCCACCGGCCTCACGCCGTTCTCTTCTCTTCGCACACTCGCAGAGGAGAGAGAAATATCCTCAAGCTCCTCTCGTGTAAAGTATCTCTTTTTAATCTATATCCCTCTCTGGTTCAGGTTCTGCGGTTGTGGCCGCTGAATCTCGTTCTTTGTTTCTCTTGGTCAATCTACGTCGAAGATTTCATCTTCAAGTGAAAGGTCCTGAGGTATGCAGCAAGGTGATCAAACGGTGATAAGCTTGAGGCCTGGAGGTGGTCGAGGCGGCGGCGGCGGCGGCGGAAGCAGGCTATTCGGTCCTCGATACGAGTCCTCATCATCTACATCTTCTACTGTCCCTACTTTCGGATCCTTTTCCTCTGATCTCTCACTCTTGCGCCCCCATGGCGGTGCTTCTTCATCATTCTCCATTAAGGCATGAATCAAATCTGATCCCCTAGTCTGGATCTGAATTTTTCATTTTTTTCCTTTAGACACAGGTCTTCTGATCAAGTTTATTTCTTTTTCTTTTTTTTTATCTGATTGATTGGTTGCTTTTTATCGCTGTTGTTTTTGCCTGCTTCAGCTCATATATTTTCTTGACCTTTAGTTGTAAGAAGCTCCAATGAATGATATATAAAGTACGAGGCTTGTCCATTATATCTGCTTTATTGGTTTTTATTTTATAGGCGACCTGGTTAAGTTAGATGTGGATCTCATGTCAACTTCCTTGGCATCGAGGCTCAAGTTGGTTTCTTTCAATTTTCTTTCAAAATAAGTTTTTTAGCTATGATGAGAGCAACATCATCTGTTGAAGCTGGAATCTGGAAATTAAGACTCATACTCATTGCTATTGTGCAATATATATAGTGGAAGAAAGTGTGGCTTTTTTTTTTTTTGGATACGACAGGAAGTGTCTGGCTTTAATACTATTCTTTTTTTTTTTTTTTTTTGATGAAAAGCTTTGATACTATTCTGTTATCAAATTTAAATGATTTATTGGGAAATTCCTTCGAATGTGAAAACCTAGAGAAAATTGGTCAAACAGAATAAGAACAGAATAAGAAACAGAACTGAAAAGGTGAATTGAGAGTTTTTTTTCCCATTGTCTTATGGTTAATATGGTTATAAAATAATACACAACATGCAATTTAAAGGGTTAATTTTAGTTGAATGTCCTAATTCTTGGTGGGGCACTTAGTATGTGTATCTGCTGTAAATATGGACAAAAATTAACATATGTGGGCTTTAGTTGGGCTTGGTTAAATAGATTGCCCATAAAGGACTCACATACATTAAAACTCATTTGATATTTGGTAAATTTGTTCAAGGCAGATTGTTGGAGTTGATTTGTTAAATGGCATTCAGTTAACTAAAATCATCTTTGCGTTGTCTAATATCTTGTTGTATTCATTTGTGAGTTTATCTGATTTTATGGTGAAAATTGAACTCTCAGTTATACTTAGAGATTTTATATTCTCATTCTTCTTGCTTTCTAGGCTGGTGATTCACGGTTTGAGGGTCGTGAGCGGGTGCGATACACCAGAGATCAACTGTTACAGCTTAGAGAGGTAATTGATGTCCTTATCTGTTTTCCTTTTCTTTGTTATTTAGGAATCACTGATTAACATTCTTTCCTTGTATAGATAGTTTTATGTATGCTCCTGGTATTAGATTCTCTTTTATGTCATTTAAACAGTGTTGTAGGGAATTCCTTTATAAAGTCTGATTCATAAGAAAACTACCCGCATTGTTGTCGAAGCTTCTAAATAGTTGGTCGTATAATCTATGGTTCATTTCTTCCTTTTGTTTGGTTACTGTTACTACAAAATGCACTACTGGTTTGTTTCTATTATTGATTTGGCTTCTGAATTATTTTTCATTTCTTGACGTTTCTTTGGCTACTCTAATTAAAATTCTGATTAGTAACTTATCTTTATCCCTCAGGCTGTTGAGGTCCCTGATGATATTATAAAAATCAAACAAGATATAGAAGCTGAGCTTTTTGGTGAAGATCAAAGCTGGGTTCGTCCGGAAAGCAATGTAAATTCTTCCCCCCCCCCTTCTATACAACATCATACACGATATTTATTGATTTTTTTCATGACTTTGGCTAAAGTCATCATTTGCATTGTTAAGTATTTTGGCTGCTTTTCGGATTATTATTCTTGTTAAGGGACGTTGATTTTTTTGGCACAAATCAATTTGGTCTATCGCTAGTTTGGGCACTAATCAATTGGTTCCCCCCCCCCCCCCGGGTTTTTCATTTTTTCCTTTTTTCTTTGTGTTGTCTAAAGAAATTTTCTCTTATTTCTTCAGCCCCCAAATCAATTTCAAAATCGATATTCTGAGCCAGATAACCGTGACTGGCGTGGCCGTTCTGGACAAATTTCTGCTGCTGAAGAAAGATCTTGGGACAATATAAGGGAGAATAGAGAATTTGGCAATCGATATGACTCGAGACAGCCAGATGCCAGCCAGGTTAATCGCCAAGACCAACAAAGTTTGCAGTTTGCAAAGGTACTAGTTCCCAAACAGGGGTCATTGACTGATTTCATGGTTGATTTTGCATGTTGTCTTTTGTCTTCTGGAAAGTTTTTTTAATGTTTGTTTGAAGATAGTTTAGTCTAGATTTGGCAACGGAATTAAGTTCACCAGTGGTTTTGGTGGAGTTGCTGTTATTACCAAGTATACCTGCACTTATCAGTTTAATACCGACATTTAGTAGCATATACTCATACTTGCATATGCAAGCATATCTAACAAATAGCTTGGTTGAAACTGTGAACGTGATTAGCTTCGGATGAATTCAAGTTATGAATTCTCATTTTCTTTATTATATTATGTTTAAGAGCATATTGAATTGGTTTCCATTTCAATCAGATGCATCGTCCTGAATGCATGGCACTGCATGTGACAATTTACAATTTTCTTTTTAATGATTCGGTCCAGTGAGACTTGCTTGCGATCTCTAGTTGTCTATTTTCTCTACTTTTGAAATAAAGGTTCGACTCAGTAATTGTACGTATGCTGTTTTCAACATCTGACATGAATAATGAATAGGCAATATTCTTTTAGCGTTTGCTTTTTTTGTTGCTTTTTATCTTGGTGAGCTTGCTTGATTAGTGGCAGTATACAAGCTTCTCAGTTAATAATTTATTAATAAATCCTCAATCCATTTAAATATAGAACACTTGATACGTCCTCTCTGGATGTTTTGCTTGACAATTTCTTCCTTTTATTATCTCTTTTTGGTCTTCATTTGGAAGTTATAGCCTTGCCTCTTGCTTCTTTAATTATTACATATGACAAGGCATAAGATTGCATGATTTATATATATATAACTATTGCATATCTTGAGCATGTTATATTTACATGTTTAGTTGTTTCTATCAAAATTATAATCTTGGTGTCTCCGTATAAAATCAGGGAGGACCTGCTCCTACTCTCGTGAAGGCTGAAGTGCCATGGTCAGCTAGAAGGGGAAGTCTTTCTGAGAAGGATCGTGTCTTGAAGACTGTGAAAGGGTAATATATAATTGATAGATGTATGACAATTATTTAATGTGGGTTTTGAGTGTTCCATCGTAGATTTACTCGCTTGCCAATATAGGCCTGGCTTGAGTCGTAGCTCATTATTTTTATTGGAAAGGACTCAACGTTGCATATTTGGGTTGCAATGCATGCCATAGTTCTGATTATTCTTTGAAAAGGAAGTCGTAACTTTAGACCCATACCATAATGGTTGAATAGCTTCTTTGAAGAACAATGCCTGCTATAATAAACATGCTTAATGTAATTTTAAGGTTAACAAAACCCATATTGTTTGAAAATTAGCAAGTCAATTGGGGGGGGGGCGTTGTTGCATTTGATTTTTCCCCTGTAGGGTCTTTGTTTTCTTGATTAGTTCTTGGAATTCTTATAATTCCTGGTGTGCGCTAAATGTTATTATTTGTGGCAATGCAGGATTCTAAATAAGTTGACTCCTGAGAAATTTGATCTCCTGAAGGGTCAGTTGATTGATGCTGGCATTACATCAGCTGACATTTTGAAGGTTTGTTCTTTGATGGCTACTGTGGATTTGTCCTTGTTCATCGTAATAATTCTTGATTATCTTTCTTTGCAAAACAGGATGTCATTTCGCTTATATTTGATAAGGCAGTGCTTGAACCAACATTTTGCCCCATGTATGCTCTCCTGTGTTCTGATCTTAATGAAAAGTTGCCACCATTCCCTTCTGAAGAACCTGGTGGGAAGGAAATCACTTTTAAGAGAGTACTCTTAAATAACTGCCAGGAGGCCTTTGAAGGTGCTGATAAACTGAGGGAAGAAGTTAAGCAGATGACTGCCCCTGAGCAGGAGATGGAGCGTCGTGATAAGGAAAGACTGGTCAAGCTTCGTACTTTGGGAAACATTCGGTTAATTGGGGAGCTCTTAAAGCAGAAGATGGTTCCTGAAAAAATTGTCCATCACATTGTTCAGGTTCTTCCCGAACTTAATCCTTGTCAGTTTTTGCTATATTACTACCTGTTAAGTTATGATGTAGGTTATCGTCAGATTTATTTATTGGTTGACTGTTACACGGATCAGGAGCTTTTAGGAGCTGATAGCAAGGCCTGTCCCGTTGAGGAAAATGTTGAAGCTATATGTCAGTTTTTCAACACTATTGGTAAGCAGCTTGATGAAAGCCCAAAATCACGGCGTATAAATGACCTGTACTTCAGTCGATTGAGAGAATTGAATGCCAATCCTCAACTTGCACCACGGTTGAGGTTCATGATTCGCGATGTTTTAGATTTGCGTGCAAATAACTGGGTTCCAAGGCGTGAAGAGGTGTGCTTATCAATTTATTTATTTTTTAATAAAAATAATATGCCAATCTATATGAAGTATGATTACTTTTGATGAACTATTAATTAATGTTGCCTTGTGTAGGTAAAAGCCAAAACAATCACTGAAATTCATTCAGAGGCTGAAAAAAATCTTGGACTGCGCCCTGGTGCCACTGCAAACATTAGAAATACCCGTAGTGTTCAAGGAAATGCCACTCCTGGGGGATTCCTTGCTCGACCTGGTACTGGGGGTATGATGCCTGGAATGCCTGGGACCAAGAAGATGCCAGGAATGCCAGGAATTGACAATGACAATTGGGAAGTCCCTAGGGGTCGGTCAATGCCAAGGGGAGATATGTCAGCTGGGCAACCAACTACACGTGGCCAGTCTCCTTTACTTTCCAAGTCAGCAGCTCTGAGTTCAAAGTTGCTACCTCAAGGTAGTGGTGGTTTTATAAGTGGAAGAAGTAGTGCCCTAGTTCATGGAGGTGGTGGTGCTGCTCCCACAATCCCGTCAAACTTTGGTTCAGATGCTGAGGCTCCACCTGCAAAAGTTGCTCCTGCTATGTCCTCTGAGAAGCCACTGGCTCCTGCACGAAAAATGAATACTGATGATCTTCAGCGCAAAACCCGGTCTCTTCTAGAAGAATATTTTAGTGTTAGGCTTTTGGATGAGGCATTACAGTGTGTGGAAGAACTAAAATCCCCAGCCTTCCACCCTGAGGTTGTCAAGGAAGCCATTTCCTTGGCACTAGACAAAAGCCCGCCATGTGTTGAACCTGTTGCCAACCTTCTGGAGTATCTCCTCATTAAAAGGATCCTTACTGCTATAGACATAGGCACAGGTTCTTTGTTATATGCTTCAATGCTTGATGACATTGGCATAGACTTACCAAAAGCTCCAAACAACTTCGGTGAGATAATTGGGAAACTAGTTTTAGCCGGAGGATTGGATTTTAAGGTGGTGAAAGAGATTCTTAAGAAGGTGGAGGATGACATGTTCCAGAAAGCCATATTTGATGCTGCCGTACGGGTCATTGCTTCATCATCTGGGCAAGCTGTTTTGGAATCACAAGCATCTGATATTGAAGCGTGCCGGAGTCTGTTTAAGTGATTTCACGGCTCTGCATGAGAACGCTGATTTCTGCAGCTGGAAGAACATGGTTGCTTGTTTAATTAGTTGAAATACCTGTTGCTTCTACCTTACCCTCACATTTGGGTGAAAAGAGCATTTTGTATTACAGTATGTTATAAAAGTTGAGCTTCCAGGATCAGATGTTTTTAGAGTTTGTATATTTTGAGGGCTCAAGAGGTGCTGTCGAGGGAAGAGTCAAAAACCGTAAAGCTACCGATTTTGTTTTCCAGATGGCTAACCGTGTTGTGCCAATCTTCTCTGAGAGAGGGGGCCCGTTAGGGCTTCCAAATGTTTTTGTATTTCATTAGTTTCAATTATTTTTTAATATTTTCTTGACAGATAATTGTTAAACTATTAGTTCATAAATATTATTGTTATTTTCACCATCATAATTCGACTCTCTTGGTCGAGAATTCTACTGTGTTGAATTTCAAAGTATTGTCTCACTACGATTTGAAGTATTTGCATAGCAAACGCTTCAAAAGAAAGAAAAAACACGCACTTCAGAAATTTCCGTGACTCAAATGATTTTCTACTGAAAAATAATTTGCAAATTTCTGCCAGCATTAAAATCTCATCACTCTGTGCTGCATTATTGCTGGTATCCAGAGGGTAGATAGCTCCTTGAGAAAGCCTACTGGCGACAAGTTTGTGCTCTCAGCCACCCTCTGAAGGATGAACGCCATAGCACAATATGCCTCAGATGTGAAGAGTCTGGCTTTGTCACCCGGTAGCACTGAGCTTCTTCAACACGTTGCACAGCTTTAGAAGTCAAAGTTTGATGATGTTCTCTTCTTAAGTTGGTGTGTTTTAGTGTACTCTTACCATGCAAGGCGCAACCTAGCTCCAATACGAGTAACAGAGTTAAAACTTCTTTTTCAAACGAAAAGAAATTCATGCACACATCATATTCATGGAAGGTCGAACGTGTAATCTCATGTTTAATTAAGACTTCAAGATATGCTAAGTGTTAGCTGGGCCAAATAACCCTAGTTAATGCGAGTTCCAAGGTTTGCTTTTTCTGCTGATGTTTCCCATCTGGTCTGCATGTTATTGATATGTGGTAAACAGGTAATAGTATTAGTAGGGGCAAGAAGGTAAATGGGAAATGGGTAGTGGACTAGTTGTCTATATAGGATGTTAGAAATTATATGAGGCGTCGATTTGAATACATATCTTTACTGTTTACTCTCTGCTCTCTCTTCTCTCTCTGTTTACCTTTAACAAAGGTATCAGAGCCTAGCCTCTAGCCACCGTCACCATTGCCGGAGGTCCCCTCAATGATTTTCACCACCACTATGGTGCTGCCGGACTGTGTCAATAAAGGCCTCGACGACTTGGAGCATCGCCTTGAGCTTCACCAAGCCACTTTCGCTTCTATCAACAACCGTTTGGATCAAAATACTCTCCATCATTGACCTCACACACACTTTCGCTCATTTGACTGATATGGCAAAGGAGTTATCTGCTCAGATTTCTTCTCTGTGGCCTGCTGCTGACCAAGGAACTAATCCCTTAACTGACGAGGATTATGGAATCATCGAGCCAATGGAGTTCAAGAGTCTGAATCATGCTAAACCTGAAAGAATTGGAAAAGAATCTGGTGATATCTTAGATCTCACTATTGCTGTTGCTGAAGAGACGAAGAATGCTGAATCTAGCGGGATTTTGGATCTCACCATTGCTGTTGCTGAAGAGACGAAGAATGCACCAGTAGAAACAGAGGAAGTAGATTATCAGTATGAAGAACTTGCAAATGGCGGACTCAACCAGGCGTTCAAGAGTTAGACGCAAGAAGAAAGCAGAAGTTCGAAAAAGAACTTGGTGAGATTTCGGATCTCACCCTTGTTATTACCAAAGAGCAGGAAGATGAATTTATGGAATCAAAGGCGGATGTTACTGACCTGAACATGGACGATGCTGATTCAAACAAGAACAAGAACGAGTCCTCTGAACTTGATGATTTCGCTACATATGTGAATGGCAAGATTGGGACGGCTCAAAAATTGAAAGAATCAGCACCTCTGCTAAGTCGTGAGAATGACAATGGATGTCGTATCCTCCATTTTCATGGTAAAAGTTTTTTCATGGCGAAACCGTTGCACCTTCGACCCACCCAGGCTTCGCACCAGAATGCACGACCATCCTTCTCTGTTCGCAAGACGTCGTCACAAGCGTCTTGTCCGTTCACTGCTCAGGCTGCCAAGTTTGGGGTATCCAGACCTTATTCCATTTTGAGCACTAAGTCTAACTTACTTTTACAATCACTAGGACACAAATTCAACTTGCAAGCCCAAATCGGTGCTCCTCCTTCTACTCCCTTTTCTGCGTTTGATGTGTTTTCTCCATCTACTGTGATCCTTACTTTGTCTGGCTGCTGCATCACTATGGCGTCTGATTCGATCAACTCCAAATCCACTGTCGCCCCACTTTTAGCGCCCAACAATATTGCTGACGTGAAGTTTTGCATCAGAGGGATAGAGAACACACCGGCCAAACTATTCATCAACGAGCTGAAGCTAACTCCAATGCATTCACCGGAGCTGTTCGCATTATTTGTCAAAGGAAGGGGCTTCGATCACAAGGTTGAAAGCAGAACGATGATCGACAAAGGCAGCGAATAGATCATCGGGGACGGATATGGTTTTGCATTTGGGTCGGGCAAAGTTGTTGAAGCAATCAGGTCGGGTGGAGCTTTGCAAGTTTCCATGGGTTTCAAATTCGCAGAGAAGGTTCCAGAGGCACCGGAGAGTGCGGTGCCAATTCGCTACTATACGAACCTTGAAGCAAGTGCTTTTGTCTTGTGCGTTCACGAAGAAGTGCCCTATGCGTGGCTAGCGTATGTTTCACGTGGCAGCAAGCATCATCCCATCAAAATTAGGCTTGACATTAATGCACATGAGGTTTTTTATCTGAATGGGATTTGGGCTCTTCAAGCATATATGGGTCCAAAAGCTTTTGACAGGGTGTGGGGCATGCAGTTCTTGAAGTTTCGGCAGTGGATGTCACTCGGGCTTGCATGGAGTGTTACAATGGGTTTTTGGACTAAGGGCATACTGCAGCAGGCTTGGGTTTTAATTGGAGCTGTTTGCATTATTCATCAAGTGGAGGGATTCTGATCGAAAGGCTGGAAGTGAGTTGTTGATTGATGAAGTCAGAGATCAGCTCAGCAAGGACAGAGATGGTTTTGCATTCTGGGTGGGTAGGGTTGGTGCTGAAATCAGGTTAAAACCAAACATTAGAGGGATTAACGTGGTGCTGGATTTTGTTGGATTTACGGGGAGTAAAGAAATGGGCCTGTTGGGGCGTCTTTAGGTTGGGACGTTATTCGCCTTTTGAGTTTTTCGCTTCCATCTCAAAGGTGATGTGGTGCAGAAGTTTACTGCAAGTAGAGCCAAAAATTATAGCGATTGAAGCAAAGGAACATTTTGTTTCTGAGGAATTCTTTGCTTCTATCAAAATTGGGGAAGGTGTGTCTGTGGCTTTGTGCTTGACCATGGCTGTTGCAGCTGCAGCTTTCATCGTACCATTGGGCCTGATCTTCTTAGCCTTTGTTCTTGTCATTAATCTCATCACCGCAGCAACGTGTTATGTGAATAGGATTGTAACAGAATTGTTATGGCTGGAACTCATATGGATTTTTGGTTTGTGTGCAACAGTTAAGGGCCGATCATTTACTGATGGTGAAACCTTTCGTATGATAGGTAAGGAGCGTGCACTTGTCACCGCAATCATGGCTCAACATTCTGGTTGCCTTGGAAGCACTCTAGCTGTGATGGGAAAAAAAAAAAGCTACTGGCAATTGGTTGGGAAAGGTGGTTTACTGACGACGGTCTCGTTCACCAATTATGGGTCTTCTACTCGTTTGGTTTTATCATCAAGTGCAACAATGGAATTGGGATTTGAAGGAAAGCTGCAACAAGTTTGGTTTTCAATGTCCTTTTGTTTTTTTTCCTTCCAGTCTTAGAAACTTATGATCTTAAAAAAAAAAAAAAAAGGGCCTTAGCCCATATATATGTACTGATCCTTGAGGACAAGAGTCTTTTGTTTGGGGGGAGTATATTGATATGTGGTAAACTGGTAATAGAATTAGTAGGGGCAAGAAAGTAAATGGGAAATGAGTAGTGGACTAGTGGTCTATAAATAGGATGTTAGAAATTATATGAGGTGTCGATTGAATATATATTTTTACTGTTTACTCTCTGCTCTCTCTTCTCTCTCTGTTCACCTTTTAACAGTTGTCCTCTCTAACCCCAGTTATATTAGCTATCTAGTCAACTATTTGTAATAATATTGTCTTTACAAATATATAAAGATACATTTTATAACTCTTGCCTCGATTCTACATGATGTTCAAATGAAACATTCACAAGGGTAATTAAGTACCGCTGGTGATGTTGTTAAATGGAGCTTTATGTTGCAAAGATAATTGAATAATTTCCTTCGTTTTTGGAGTCTTCCAAAATTAAATTTTCAGAAACCTGTTAATACTTCTGCTGCTTTAGCTCTTGAAGCACATTTCGACTTCCAAGCTGATTTTTCTGAACCGCTTCGTCCTCTTTTGATCTGCATATCGCTTTTACTCGTCTTCTTGATCAGTAATCTCACAGAAAATTCTGCTTTCTCATTCGTCTCGTCCCATAGTCAATTACAAATTGCATATATCATTTTATCAGACACTGTCGTAATTTTGAACAAACAATCGCCACCTTTTTTCCTTTTTGTTCTATCACATGGATTGGTCATTATATACTAGCTTTGGTGATTAATATAAAATCTAATTGACGATTAAGAAAGTTAAAAAAATTATTTTAAAAGTATTTACATTTAATTTTTTTTCTAGAGAGATCATGAAACATACTACATTTGGTTCATAATATAGAAACCAATTAAAAATTCAATTTGATTATAAATATATAACACCAATGCAAATATCTCAAATGTATATCTATTTTGCTTTCAAGTAATCCCTATGATGATTACACATATGAGGAAGTTTTTATCAAGCAATAGTTACAATGCACATGATTAATATGAGTATTTTAGAGAAGACAATCTATTTATTATAAAATAACCAAACTAATTTTCTTGTTATAATTAATAATTTATTTAACTTCTTTAATCTCTTAAAATTAATGAATCAGATGTTAAGGAGATGAGGAAGTGTATGACATCTCTTTATTTAGTTGAACACCAGAGACATGTTGATTTCCATAGACAGATCTAAACTTGCAATGATGTCTAGGGTCATTATACTTTTGTGTTGGCTTATAAATAAAAACTATAATGTCAAATTAAGATATCAGCATTATCTCCCTTTTTAAATAAAAAAAGAGAAATTCAAACAAAGACCCTTGAATATGTAAAATTGCGATTTAGAATCTTGGCTTTA